AGGGTGGCCAATGCGGAAATCAGATTGGTGCGAAGTTCTGGGAAGTCATCGCCGATGAGCACGGCATCGACCCAACAGGCAGCTTATCTGCATAGATATGGTCAACAGGAAATCATGCGACGGAAGCTGCGGTGACAGGTACCTACCACGGAGACTCAGATCTTCAGTTGGAGCGGATCAACGTCTATTTCAACGAAGCCACTGGCGGACGCTACGTACCCCGAGCTGTTCTGATGGACCTTGAACCAGGCAATTTGGGGCGGTTTCAGCTTTCGAGTGAAGCGCAGCTTTGAAGGGGTGTAGGGAAAGACGTGCACCGTGCTAGCTGTATGTCAATGTGGGTCGACCTGCCGTGCGTCCCGAAAGGAACCATGGACAGCGTTCGTGCCGGACCATTTGGCCAGTTGTTCCGACCGGACAACTTCGTGTTCGGTCAAACAGGTGCAGGCAATAACTGGGCCAAGGCCCGCTGCTGTGATGTTGTGGCCAGAGGAAACAGCTCGTGACGAGAGACTTGCTAGTGTTGCCGTCGCCTCAGCTTGACAGGGCCATTACACCGAGGGTGCTGAGCTCATCGACTCTGTCTTGGATGTGGTGCGCAAAGAGGCCACGAATGACAAACATGCTGACGACTTTGCACATGCATGTTGCAGGTTCAAACACGCATGGTGAGTTGCCTGCAATGCAGAGGCTGAACTATATGCACGCGTACGGAATGTAGACCAACATGGGATTTGATACTCGGATCCACATTCTCATCGCAATTACTATCGGAGGGATTATTGATCTGTGCTCTATGTTGAAGCTCTATAAAAAAAACGTTACGAGATGCTTCTAAACCCTAGAAAACCGAGGTGAGACCCTATCAAAGCAGTCTTTGTGCAGCCTTCGATGTGAGGCTGAAGGCTGCGATTGCCTCCAGGGCTTCCAGCTCTGCCACTCTCTGGGAGGTGGCACAGGAGAAACTGGTTTTTTGATTTTGGCTTCGGGGGGCAAGGGGCGAGGGGTAGAAGTTGGCTAGACTTGAGTCCAGTGGCAAGGAGCTGGCATGGGCACGCTCTTGATCTCCAAGGTGCGTGAGGAGTGCCTCGGATGAAGAGTTCCGTGCGGATGGGTTAGTCTGTTGCTAGCAAGTGATCACGGTGTTTTTAAACTGGATAGAAACATCTGCATGAAAAGAAGGGATACTTGGAGGAGAGGTAGCAGAGGAGAGGTGAAGCGAGC